ATAACTCAGGTTGAGAAAAAAGCCATGTCACCTCTCAGCTTAATCTCCTCCTCTTCTTTTTCTTTTGGCAGAGGAAAGAGCCCAGAGGCCCAGACTTCAGCTCAAGCCCCGGACAGTCGCTACGCCCCTCAATCAAGTAGCCAATCCCAATTCTGCCATCTTTGGTGGAGCCAAGCCAAGGGAGGAAATAGTAAAGGAGCATGACTGAGGGCACTCAGGGGGCAAGAGTGGGGGAAACGGGATTGAGGGAGGGGCTGGGTGGGGGTGGGAGGAAACGCAAGACAGCCCAGAGTGTCTCACTGAGCTCAGAACATTAACCCTGCAGCCACCATTCCTACCATCTGACACTTGTCCTCCTTGAAACCGAAATGGAAAACAAAACAAAACAAACCAGAGCTTGTGAATGCATGTCAGCTGTTAACAAGTGGTTTTTAGCACATTTTTGGCTTCGCTGTATGTAGTGCCTGCATTCTCTTAAGTTCCCCAGCCCCAGACTTCCCTCGTTCCAGGCTCAGGGCTGGCTTCCAGCCGACAGAGCACCTCTTCCACAGTGGCTTTCTTTAATCCAAGGTGCTTCTTCCCCCTTTTCTTCGTTTCTGACTCTCTCTCTCTTCTTCCCAGACATCTGAGTCAGACTCCAGACCTGCTTACCTTGTTTCCCTCTGCCTTCTACAGTGCTTCTTTGTCGGCGGCATGTTCAGCCATCCCCAGTGACCCTCGACTCAAAAGAGTCCTGCCCAAGTGAAAATGTTGCAAAAAAAAAAAAAAAACAAGCTCCTGCAACACAGAATTTAAGCCACTGGGCACTTTGGAATAAATCCAAAGTCAGTTTCTTCTGGGATAGTTTAAAATGTAAACTGCAGCAAGAGCAAGAGATGCCCTCTGCTCTGGGCCTCACTGGCACTGTGCAGGGCTCTGCCTGGAGCAGAAGTTATGTGTCTGCATCAGAGTCTGGCATGAAAAATGCAATTTGATGCATTCTTGACTTGGCCTGTGTCATTCCCACTAGTGCTTAGAGGTTGGTGCTGTTGACATTTGTGCCAACTCTGTAGCACCCAGGACTTCCTTCCAACATATTCTGCATTTTATTTTATTTTTTCCACAGAATTGCTAATGGCTTTCTAACTAATTTCTTAAATAAAGTTTTTTTTTTCTCCCTTTGGGAGGTTGGAGGCGCTTTGTTTTGAATGAAATGGTGTCTTAACTTCGCCATGACAGCATTTTGATTCTTTCAGTATGTTTTGTGCTTTTCCTGTTTAGCTCCTCCAATAAGCAGAGGGGAGAGCACCACTTTATACAGTTTCAACCGGCATCTTAACAGCACGGAGGCCTAGCAAACTGAGCGGCTGACAAATGTTCGTTCCCCTTGCGTCTCTGTGTGAATAAATTCTGCTGGAAAAAGCTGGATGCAGCAAGTAACCTAGAAGGAAAGAAGCACTAAACAGTGATGTAAACTTGAAGAGAAGTTTGTCGCCTGCTCAGCTGTTCAGTTTGTAGGATTCGTGGCTCAGTCTGGGCAGAGTGGGAATACCTGCAGTGCCTGACTTCAGTGCTCACATATCTTATTTGTAGCTTTGATACAAATAACAGGATAGAAACTGGCAGGTATTGGAGGCTTTCTCTTTTCTTGGGCTTTCCCTCCTTTTAAATGCTAAATCTTGTCCAATTTGTAAAAAAAACCAGGTCTTTCAGTTTGCAAAATTAATTAGACTTCCAAGAGCAGCTTTTATTTGGATATAAATAAAATGATTGGCAAAGATCTTCATGATTTACAAAAGAGCAAATGTTTCTTTTCCTGACCTCCTTGTAATTTGAGCATATTTTTGAGAATAAGAACCATTTGTTTAACACTAACTTTCTTTAAGACATGCACTGTGGTTATGTTCTAAACAAAAATCCACCCAATAATCTCGCTTCCACTGTAAGTAAGGAAGAACCAAGATTTTAAGAGCAAAAAACAAGATTTCTCCATGCAAGGCTCACTCAAGTCGATCCATTTGATTTTTAAATGTGTAAAGAGAAATTTCCAAACACTTAACACATTCTGCTTCATGACAAAGTAAATTTATGGATATGGTATTTTGTGAATGATCTTTTAAATAAAGAAAACATTAAGTAATATTTAAGGCTGGTCTGTGTTGAAGTTTGTTGGCAATTTTGGGACAGAAGAGCTAGCTTTTACCAACAGATTTCTTCAGTTTTCAGACTGGGTGTAATGTGGAGTGCTTTGGAGGGTTGCGTAAGGGTGCCAGTTCCATTGCTAGCTTCTGAATTTTTGTGAAGTATTCATTCTTGCAGCCCTCACATGTGTAACTTTCTTTATCCTCTCTCTTACTTTTGTACATTGGGAAAGGAGCAAATTATTTTTATTATGAGACTAATTCAAGGTTTTAAAGTAAAATCCGTTCAGAAGAGAAAACAGGATTATGTTTTTATTTATATTTGGTTTTTTTCCTGGTATAAATTTTCAGGGTAGTTGTTTGGAGCCTATCAAATTGATGGCTGTATCTGCTATGGTTCCACCATATACAGTTAGTCCTTGACTTATGACCACAATTGAGCCCAACATTTCTGTTACTCAGCGAGACAGTTAAGTGAATTTTGCCCCATATTACAACCTTCTTGCCAGAGTTGTTAAGTGAATCACTGCAGAATTTGGCTCCTCCACCCCCCACCCCCATTGACTTTGCTTATCAGAAAGTTGCAAAAGGTGATCACATGACCCTAGGACACTGCAGTGTTCATAAATACGAACCAGTTGCCAAGCGTCTGAATTTTGATTACATGGCCACAGGGATGGCTGCAACGGTTGTAAGTGTGAAAAATTGTCATAAATCCCTTTTTTTAGTGCCGTTGTGACTTCAAAGCTTATTAAATGAACTGTTGTAAATCGAGGACTACCTTTATGCCCCCAGTTCTGAAAATGCAACACCAAATTATTATGGCGCAAGGCCGGATTGTGAAAGTTCAACCAAATGCAATATGAAAGGGCAAGCTAAACAATGCAAAACAATCTTGTAATGTGCAACCTAGTTCTGTTGTCCATTCTGCCCAATCGCCAGGCTTACAGATGTATTCATATCTGTAATAAGTGTGTTCTTTCAAGAAAAATCTTAAGCACCACTGGTCAGAAGAGCAGCCAGCCAGTCTTCCTATTAAGGGTTGGATTAATCTGGACTTTTTAAGAAAACATTCCAAGGCAAAGGGATAATCTCAACAGATGTGGATGGTTATGGGATGGTTAAGGAGCAGATTTGGGCAGGAGAGACGCCGTTATCCAGGGGTTAAATTCAATATGGGGCAATTCCTAATATATAATTTTACACATTTTCCTTAACAACTTTTTCTATAAGATAAACATAAATTTTGTCGTATTGATAGAAAAAAAGTACTATGTAAGGTGTGAAAAATAGGTACCTGGAATATATTCTGATTAAGGAGGAAAATGGATGACAAGGAAAAGGAAGGAGAGGTGAGCACGTGAATGATACAGTGCCTATAAAGCAGGGATTAAGTACATGTTCTTGCACCAAACAACCAGTATCCTAAAAGTCTTGATTTTCACTATTTTTGTGAGAAATTTTAAGTCTAGTGTGGAAATCGGTCTCCGGTTTTCTCAAGGGTTGTCGGTGGCATCATCTGGAGAACTGAAAAATTTCCCTATTTTTTGAAAAAAATATTAACCATTGCTGATGTCTTTTCATGTATTTTGTTAACAGATTGTCTGATGTAGAATATAATGGGGCATTACTGAAAGATGGTGGCATACACAATATAGATTTTATACTCTTCTGTTTGTGATGGCCATGAGGCCCAGAAGGGCAGTACGGCTGCATCTGATCGCTTTCACCCATTGAGCACCTCCTAGGGAGCACATGTAGCTTAAGGGACGTTATGAACATGGGCGACTTTTGCTTATGTATATGTTTACTTTGTCATGTTCTCATCATATGCTAAATAAATAATACTGTGCAGAAGGATGAAATGTGTGCTTCCCTGATAGCTGTGAGTGACATTAGATCTTATAATGAAGTTCCCAGATTAGATATAGAACGGAGATAGAGATAGCATCTCAGCCTCCCACAAGCTACGGTTCCTGAGTCAAACATAGTGACATGATCAGTTGCGGCTAATTATGGTCACCTATTTTCTTTTTACTGTTAATTGCGTCTTCAGGACTATGAAGCTTTAAATTAACAACTATCCTCCCTCTACTTTCCATGTTTTTTGGACAATCCGTTTATTAGTGAGTGTATGTTTGGGTGTATTTTTTGTGAAAGTTGAAAAAAAATTGCAAAATAATAATAATAATACAAGAAGTCCTAAATCTTGAAGAATGATTACCTTTTGACTTCCTTTAGAATAAGGAGTGTCAAACTCAATTTCTTTGCCGCATCAGGGTTGTGTTTGACTTCGGGGGGGTGGTAGCTGGCAATGTGTGGCCAGGGTGGGTGTGGCAAGTATGACATCACTCATATCAGGGGGGGTGTCTGTGGTGGCTCAACTGCTCTGCCAGCGAAAACGGAGTTCAGGGGAGTGCGTGCGGCACTCGCGGGCTCCATTTTCACTGGCAGAGGCACTGCGGGGTGCATCTGGGCCACGGACCTTGAGTTTGACACCCCTGCTTTAGAAGCTTGGTGACCCCCAGTAGTTGCACATTACATTTATTAACACACCAAATTAATTCTTCCCCAATCACTTGGGCTAAACTACCTGATCCGTGAGAATTGGTCAAGACAAGTTCATGTTCAAGTTTTCTTACCCTGTGCCTTGGGGTTTATGAGAAAATCCTCGTCCAAACCGGAACCGCAGCTGTTGGGTTGAGTGAGTCACAGGTAACAGGAAGCTTGAGGCCAGCTTGCTGTTGCAGAGAGCAAGTAGCCACATACAGCTTTGAATGTGAGACCGCTGAGTAAGAAATGGCCAGAGAGTAAAGGATCAGTAACTTCTGCCTCTTAGGAAACCTCTAAACTTACAAGGTATGATATTTCAGCTTCTGTTGACCGTCCATTTTTTGCCTTCTGGATTTTAGGCTAGCCCACTTCTTTCTGGCAGGATAGACTGTTAACTCAGTTCAATTTCTCTCGTGATCACTCATTTTTTTTCTTTTGTAAAAATTGAACAGGGAACAAAAGTGATTCCCCAAATTACAGACATAACCAAAAAAACTTCAGAAAATGTTACGACACGTGGTATAGGTTTATGTAACAATTTGGAATTCCTATAAAACCTATATGTTTTCATTTGTCTTAATTAAACTTAGTCCAGTTGTTCCCGGCTCTCCAGAATGCCTTTGATAACCTCTTAGTTTTGTTTTTCTATGCAGATGGGCAGATTTCTTAAAATAGGCTGCAATCTGTTTATTTGTATTTTCATTTTTAAATGGTGGAGGCCATTCCTTGTTTCTCAGTATGCTCTCAGTTTCTCGCATTAAAACTATTTTTAAGTCAAAAAATCAAGGGAGAGAACTTTGTGAGTTCTAAAGGGATCTGATAACAGCTGTTCAGATTAACACATTTTAGGCATCTGATGAAGTGAGCAGTGGCTCACAAGACCTTAATGCCTTTTAATAACTTGTTAATCTGAAAAATTACCCACACTCCTGATTCTTGGTTATCATAAACTAACCCAAGCTTTCTTGCAATGCGTAACGAAGGAGTAAGCAACTGGGTTTGAGCTGAAGGCAAGATTCTCTGGGTTGTAACCCTCTGCTATAGGGTCCTATTAAGACAAAATTTGTCAAATTCATACATTCATTTGTGTATTTATTTTATGCTTGTGCACTTTGTCACAAGTTATTTATTTCCCTGAACGGTTGCAACTCTACATTCTGTCTTGGCTGCTCCTTTGAAGACCAAACTTCTTTATAAACAAATAGTCCATAACAGTGCGCAGTGATGCAGATTAGTGTGGGTAAAATCGCATTTGCCTTTTGTTTTAATCCACCAACTCCCCAACTGCAAGGTGCCATGTTCTATGAAGTTTTGTAACTCTGCCATATATAACGGTATTTCCATTAGGAACAACTGATCTGTCACACTGGGAGCGAATTTTTTCCTCCTTAATATTATATCCTCTTTTTCAACTTGAGTTGCCTTCTGTTTCCACTGACAGAAGTCAGTGAAACAAAACTGTTTCCACTAGTTTTGCAGTCGGCACACACTAACTGTGCCAAAAAGGCATCACACTTTTTAAAAAGTATTTTTAATGAGAAGCAGATTGCTTCCTGTAGGAGAATTAGCAATCGGATTAACAGAGTTGGAAGGGACCTTGTAGGTCGTCTAGTCGAAGCCCCCGCCCAAGCTGGAGACCCTATAAGTCCTTTTTTGAAGAGATCTGTTTTTTCAGGAGTAGATCAAAATGTCAAGAGGTCTTTCTGTACCTAGATTGCAGTTCTATAAAGTAAGAAATTCCCAAAATCAAAAATTGTTCATTATTAGTGGAGATGTAGGATCTCCTGCGCTTCAGTTAAAAAATTACCGATCTCTTGTTTTAAACTTTACATAGGTCTACTATAACCTCTTGCCTGCCATCAAATAATTGGTATGTGCTCCACTTATTATGGCTATGATAGCACTGTCCCTTCTTTCTAGCTCTCGGTCACCAAAAATAAAACAATTTTAAAAGTATGGCTCCATTAGCAGTGAAAAATTGTTGTGCTGCTGTTTCTCAGCCTTCTTACTTTATTCTTATTTTGATAGCCGTCACGATGAGCAAATGATAGCTGGTGGTGGCTTCATTTATTGGAAAATATTAAACCAGAGTTGTAATATTTTGGGATATATATATAGAAACACATATGCTTGCAGACACCCACTCACACCAGGCTTTATCGGAATTTTTCTCATAAAGTACCGTTTCCCTGAAAATAAGATATCCCCTGATAATTGGGCTTTTGAGCGCATGCGCTAAAATAAGCCTCCCCCCCACCGAAAATAAGCCCTCCCTGAAAATATTTAAATGCATGCTCAGCCAGTCCCGGCCATTTCCTCTGGTTTCCTCCATGTGCCCCAAAATAATAAGACCTCCCTGAAAATAAGGCCAAGCGCTTATTTTGGGGTTCAAAAAAATATAAGACAGGTTCTTATTTTTGGTTAAACACGGTACATGAATTTAATGTAAAAAGTTCTGATCTATCAAAAATTGTTCATTATTAGTGGAGACGTAGGATCTCCTGCGCTTCAGTTAAAAACCACTTGTTGGCAGAATGTCAAAAACTCCCCTTCCCAGATATCTCCACCATTCACATTAAGGCCCAATATTATTATTTTGGAGATCTAGAACAGAAATTGGATTACAATTTTGGTTCTGAAGGAATAACAATTACCTTTTTTTCTGATCATTTGTGAAACTGAAAACACTAGAGCAGTGAAACAGAATTAGTACATGGTCTCTCTGGCAGTCAATGCATAGATTTAGTCAGTCTATGGGCGTGAATCTTTGAGTCAGTTGTCAGGGTTCCAAGTAATAAATCCATAGCAAGCAAGACTCCGAGGCATGTAGATTCCTCAAAGAATACGTTTATTTGGAATATCATATTGGCACATATCTGGTGAAAACCGACTCTAAGGTCTCCCACGGTTTTCACATAATTAAAAGTAAAAGTTTTTCCACTTTTCAAAACAATCAAGTCACATGGTCCAATCACAGAACGGGCTGGCAGCCAGGTGGCATCATTCCACCTTCTGACCAGATGTGAGAATGTCCTTGGTTCCCAAGAGAAAATATGTTGTTTTGGCTAGATGTTCCCCCTCTGTCTCAATTCCCCCCTCCCTGACCCTCAGCTCCAGTGTGGCAACACTGAAGTGGTCAAAAATGGCTTCAGTCAGGTCAGCTTCAGGGTTGACATCAGTATTGACTCCCGAAGATTGCCTGGAGAAGGACTTAGCAAGATTTTGGATTTATACACTGCCCATCTCACTATCTGACTCTGAGCAATTTACAGATAAAAGCCATAAATATATATTAAAAAGATACAGTTAAAAAAGGCAGAGGGAGCACCCTCAACCTACCAACCATCTCCAAAGTTGCATATCATTCGTAGATCCCCAAGCCTGTGTGAAGTCAGGTCTTTACGTTTTCTGGAAGGCCAGAAGAGTGGGGAGCAGCCTCAATTCTGAGGACAACGTGTTGTATAGGGCAGGGTTAATGGCAGAGAAAACTCCCTTGCCATTTGTCCTTGCTTCCTTCTTCCAAGGGCCAAGAGATGTGACTGGTCCAAAGTCATCCAGATGGCTTCGTGCCTAGGACAGAACTAGAAATCATGATTTTCCGGTTTCTAGTTTGAGGTTACACTTGGATCTTTTACATGCAAATAATTGAATACATCAACAATCAATGGCTTAGTAAGTTTATCAACAGCATCTTCTCACTTTATTCCATGCTGAAATAGTTTTTTTCTCCATTCCTTTTTCTCCCTTGAAATAGCACTTAGCACTTATATACCGTTTCACAGTGCTTTACAGCCCGCTCTAAGCGGTTTACAGAGTCAGCATATGGCCCCTAACAATTTGGGTCCTCATTTTACCCACCTCGGAAGGATGGAAGGCTGAGTCAACCTTGAGCCGGTGAGACTTCAACTGCTGAACTGCTGGCAGTCAACTGAATTAGCCTGCAATGCTTCATTCTAACCACTGTGCCACCACGGCTCTATAATCTATAATCCTGTAAAGAGAGGTCTGTGAGAAAATCCCCAAACCTTCAAATAATTCCTAATTTTATATTTAACTGATTTTTAAAACCTTGCAAGAGAAAAGTTGATCAATATGATCATAATTTAAATACTAAACTTTACTTTGGATGGGCTCTAGGAATTTGGAGGGGGGGGGGGCAGGTTTCCTTCGAGTCATTGTTAACTCCTGGCAACTACCTGGTTGTTTTCACTTGCAATGGAGAGGGTTTCTGGTTGCCCTCCCTGATCATGAATTGCACAATTTCCAGACCAAAGCTGTCATATCAAAAGCCCCTAGACTTTTTTCCTTGCTGAGTATGATCCTTTGTTTCCAACTCCCTTTGTTCTCCTTGAGATGCTGGGCAGAAGCTATAGATCATTTGTAAAGCGTATGTTTTGACTGCAGAAGTTTCCATATCTAAATACGGCTGAAAACCTCCTACTTAAAACCTCTGAAGGTGTTGTCAGTCAGTGTCAATAATATCAAACTAAATCAACCTGGGCACCCTCTTGTGGGTTATTATTAAGTGTGGACTTAATAAGTGTGGGCTTGCTAAGAATTCTGGGAATTCACCCCAAATTCTAGATAGAAAACTTGAGAATCGATAAATTTTAAAATCCTGTTTTAGCCGCTCATTCTGTACCAAATTAAATAATTAGACTGGGATAAGTGGGAAGATGGATTTCTTAAACAATCTGGAGTGTCATCAAACAAATCTGAATGTATTCAATCCAGTTCACCTGTTCACTTTGGAAAACTGATTCAAATCAGCATTTCTCAAAAGATATTTTCATGACCCTTCACAACAGACTAACGTGATTGCTTCTTTCCCCAACCTTCCAGATCTATTGGATTTTCCCTCTCTAATTGTCCAGTTAGTCGGACTATTTTAATTTCCCACAATGTCCATAATAGCTTTAATTTGGCACTGGAGCACAATTTGTACTTCCGTTATCCCAATTAGTTTTAATATTTACTATTGTTACATAACTACAGTATCTCATAACATACATCCTTTAGCTTCACAAAATCAAGGTAACATTTAAGCACAATATAAAATAATATTTATTTAGTTATTGCACTAATGCACACATTGCCCAATCAAAAATATTCCAAATGGTTTACAATAGAAAAGCAGAGGCTTTCAACTTCCCTCAAATGAACTTGGGAATGTACAGCATGTAATACAAGTAGAGAAGTAATCCCACCACCATGGGATAACTTCTTAAACATGGGCATATAGTTGAGTTCAGTACATCCATTTTTCAGTTTCTACCCTTATTGATCTAAACGTCTCCTCTGTCATTCTTCATAGAGTGGAGTTTTTTCATAAACCAGGCAATAGGAGGTCAAGCATTTGAGAATCATCTCATTCAATGTCCTTGTGCCCCCCACTCCGATAAGATGAATGATGACAGTGCCTGCCCAATCGATCAAAAACTCAAAGGGACAATTAAATGCTGGGCAGAATATTCTAACAATTCCCATTCCTGTAAATGTCAAACATGCTGACAAAATGCATAGTGACCAGCAAGTGATCTGACCATGATAAAGGAGTGAACCACAATGTCAATCTTCACATCCCCTACCATCTTCTCTCAGATGAAAGCCAGATCTGTACATCAGGTACAATACTGCCTGCAACAAGTCCATGGAGGCCATAAAATCACGAACCTACCCAGATTCCACACCAAGGACATAGCCATTGAAATCTCCTAGCACTAGAGGTTCCGCACTGGGCTATTTATGAGATCTAGAAACTCAAGTACAGTGGTTGCTGGGCTCCAATTTGACCCTCTGGACCAATGTTATAAAGAGACACCCCCCCACCCAGTCATCCATATTCAACATCTGGTCAAAGGCAAAGTTTGGAGGAAAAAAACACCATCTCCTTCATCTACAGCAACCAGAGCTTTTTTCTGAGATGCAGGTCAAATCTGTATGCTCATTGTGGATAGGTGTGGTGGTCTAATTGTGCATTTAACCAACAACAGCCTGAGATCAAGATGACTTAAGGATCAGGCTATCCAGGAACAAGTCAGATGGGTTAAAAGGATTGGAATCAGATTGCTGGTCCCTTTTCTCCTAAAATGACCCACCCAACATCTCCCATCACATTTTCCTCTATCTCTCATGGATACCAATTCCGTAACATTTTCACCTTTCTGTGGCTTTCCAATCTCTCCCATATTTTCCCACTTTTGACTCACACTAAATCCAGAGGGTGTCCTCACCATCATTGTTTCATTCCATCTTCTTCCACAGTCTCAATCTGCTTTCTGTTCCCCACCTTCCCACTCTTACATAGTGGTGGTTTAGTCCAAGAGCTTCAGCAATGCACAAAATGGCCATCTCCATCTCCATTCTCTCCTCGCTGTTTCCACTTCCAAACCATGTGTTCTTCCTTTTGCTGTCAGACTTATATAGCCCTTCTTAAACGTCTGCTATAACTTGTCCTTCATCCTTCATGTATAAAGCTTGAGGGGACCAGGGAAGAGGGTTTCCCTCTCTAGGTTAGTCCAATCCGAGTTTCAGATTTGACATCATTAGGGAATGAGAGGATAGCATATTTTATGTTTATTGTGGTCAAAAGATTTGACCAGAAAGCTTTAACAGCTTTCAGAGGTCACCAACACTTATAGTTCTTTGTGACTTCAGTCTGCCCCAGAAAACAAGAGTCTGATGCATCTGAGGAGTTCATGGACACCATGACAATCACAGACTTGATCCAAGTCATCCAAGACTTGATACACACTAAGATGAAACATTAGATCTGGTTTGGGTTGGAGCAGTTGCAACACATCCTGTAGAAGAACATTATCTTCAGTCCCTTATTATGGTCAGATCACTCTGATTGCTTTCCATCTTGCCAATGCCCCATCATCCCCAAATAATATCTATGCATGGCATTAAAGGCAACAACTAGCACTTTGAATTGCATTTGGAAGGAACCTAGGGGAAGGATATTCTATGTATATCCTGTTGAGCTCCAGAGGAAGATATAAATCTAGCAATAAACATAATAAGGAAAGAGTTAGGGTAAACCCCTCACCATATCTACTGATTCTTCCCCTATTTTTGAATTAAGGCTACAAAGTGGTTGAAGACTTGTCTCATCTATGTTGCTTTTATCTTTTAAAAGGCTGGAACTACAGTAAGACCAAGCTATGGGCCAAGTGGAGCTGATTTGGGGTGCCTTCTCCTTGATGATTCTGGGGGCCCTTATCAGCATGTGCATGAAATGTCAACAAACTGGTAAGGTTTTAATCCCTTATTTTGATTAGCTGAGATCTGAAACCCAGATTAAACATAATTTGGCGGTTGAAATGCCATATATGTGTTCATAAATAAAGTAAAGTAAAGTAAAAGATTTTAGTCCGCTAGTCATTGCCAAATATAGAGGGCAGGTTTGATCTCTGTTTCAAGGCCATTGAGCCAGTGCCGTCTGATGACATTTCTGCAGCCATGTGGCTAACATGACATCATGGAGCACTGTTACCTTCCCGCCGTAGTGTTACCTATTTATCTATTTGTATTTGCATGCTTTCAAACTGCTCGATTGGCAGGAGCTGGGGTGAGGATGGGAGCTCACCCTACCATCACATGGAGCTCAGGTCTCGAACGTGGGCTGCTGGCTTTCCAGCTGACAAGCCCAGTGTCTTAACTGCTGAGCCACCGCACCGCCCATATATTTATTCATAGGGATAATAAATTGCAACCAATCTCGAATACATAGTACAGATCGAAGTAATCTCTTATAAAGACAAAGCAGTGGGTAAGAATTCACATTTCTGTGCATATGTTCACTAAGCCGTGTTACAAAAGCACGGATGTTCAAGCAACGTTTCACCCATCTGTAAAATGGTATGATGATGATCTCCAGCTCCCAACTCTGCAAATATACTTGGATTGAATTGATCTTCCTTTTTTCGTCTCCCCTCTATTACTTCTTTAGTGGTTATTGCTCCTTTTTTTCCCTTATAATTACATTTTAGCTCTTAAAACTCTCTCCTGTTTCTGTTTCTTCTCCATCTTCAGGGAGTAAACAGGAGAAGGCAAATGTGGACAACCAGAGAACTCAGTAAGTAGGGATCATTTTCACTGTCTTTCCGAGATTGCAGTCCCAATGGAATGAGATGAATCCCAATGCAGTTAGAATTTTGGGGGCGCTCAACACTTTAAGAGACCAATCAAAAAAGCAACAAGTACAAAGCACCTCCATGAACACCAACTAGCCATCAGAAGACATGACAACAGCTCTTTCATCTCACAATGTATGGACAGACTCAGCGGTGGGTTCCACATATTCTTACTTCTGGTTTGCCCCACATGTGCACGCTTGCTTTGCGCGTGGATGCCTTTTGCGCATGCACCCAGCCTAGAAAATGTGGCTAAATAGGACGGCATTATGTCAGGGCAGGTGGCTGGGCCCACCCACAGTCGCCGCTACCAGTTCGCCTGAACTGGTATGAACCAGCTGAATACCACCTCTGGACAGACTCAAGCAGAGGGTCCATTGGGAAACTATTGGCATTTTAGACTTAGCCAGATCCAACAGTACAATCTACAACCACTCACTTAGCCACCACAAAGTAACTTATGACTGTTTTTACTCTTATGACTGTTGCAGCATCCCATGGTCAGGTGATCAAAATTTGGATGTTTGGCAACTGGCATGTTTTATGAGAGTTGTAGTGTCCAGGGGTCATGTGATCACCTTCTGACAAGCAAAGCCAATGGGGAAGCCAGATCCACTTAACAACTATGTTACTAACTTAACAACTGCAGTGATTCACTTACAGTGATGGCAAGAAAGGTTAATAGAATGGGATAAAACTTAACAACTGTCTTGCTTAGCATCAGAAATTGTGACTGTAAGTCGAGGACTGCCTGTACTAGAGAACCCCTGGAAATTTGGCATTCAGATAAATCAGCTATTAGTAGACACACAGAAATAAACCACATTTGCACAGCATTCAAAAGAGACAACAACAACAACAACAACAACAACTAGGAAGGAAGCAAAAAGATTAGAGCATCTCTCCTTCAGCAGCCAACACTTAGATAAGCAGAAATCAATACCAGAGAAACAAGCAGAAAACAAGAGGATCAACGAACCACCAAGGAGGAAACCACACTCTCACCAAAATGGCAGGGCAAACTACTGGATATAAACAAGGCAACAAATCCCACACTTACTCACACTGATGATGTTACCTAGTTCGGTACTGAGGTGTCTTCAAGCAAACAAGCTCAGAGAGCACTGTTGTGGCTCCGTTGCCTGAGCCTGGGCTATCGACAGATGCAGATTCTGAGAGAGAGGGAGAGGAGTTGGCAAGGCCTCCCTCTCCAGGACCCTCCTCTCTGGCAATGCCTCCGGAGGACACTGAAGGCCAAAAGATAGACTCAGAGCCAAGCACGTCCCCGCAGCCATAGGTGGACAGCGACGAAGGAGATAAGTGCTGGCTGGACCCTCGGCAGAGGCGCAGGGAGAAGCATGCGCAGCAGAGGGGAAGGCATGCCAGAGATTAGCTGAGTCACTGGACAACACCCCACAGGGTATAAATGTGTGTGTGGTGGCCGGTTCAGTTTGTGACGAGCAAAAACTAGAAATAATCCATTATCTCTGCATTACTGGACTTCTGCCTGCCTTGTCGGACTGCATTTGGACTAATCCTTGTATTGCGGAAACTTTGCCTGCTTTATCGGAATGCTTGCAGTCTAATCTTTGTTTTGTGTGAGTAAAGTCTGAATTGGCAGCTAGCCACTGGGTTGCTGCCAGCTTTATCTTCAAAGATTTTGTCGTGTGGCTTATTAACTCCGGGCCGTCTGTGGGGGTGCGTGTGTGGGACGGGGACAGAACAAGCACTAAGAGCGCCATTATCCAATTCAATTCAGTTTATTACAGTCATAGATCAGAGACCAGAACAAATAAAAACACTCAGTGAATAACCAATTAAAAATTCTAGAATAAAATAATAAATAACAGATAAATATTGAATTGAACGCCATTATTCTAAATCTCTTGCTGGTGGTATATGACCAAGGGCAGGAGGTAAAATTTTACAACTACAGTTAGAAGATTAAAAAGACTCTAAAACCATAGAGAGCCACAGTATGAGTGTTTGACCTATAGGAATAAAAAAAAACTGGTCTGATTTAAGGCTGCTTTCTCTGAACTGGAGGTGAGCAACTTGTAGCACCTCAATATAATTTCAAACACTCCGAGTGAGGAGGGAAGGAGAAAAAAGCAGGGGTGAAATCTACTTACCTTCCCTACCGGTTTGGAAATGCGTGCGCTGTGCACACTTCCGCGCACCATCTTCACATCCGATTTTAGACCCTCTGCGCATACACAAAACCTGTGCATGTGCAGAAGGTCAAAAACAGGTTACTTCCTGGTTAAAATCAGGAAGTAACGACGTCGGGGCGGGTGAGCGGAGCCTTGCGCTGCCTCCGCTACCGGTTCACCAAACCATGCACCACCACCGCTACTGGTTCATCTGAACTGGAGTAAACCAGTAGCATTTCACCCCTGGAAAAGAGGGTGATGTCAACTCGCGAAGCATTCCTGTCCTGCTCTTGAGTTGCCATAGGCAAGGAGGACAAGGAATTGAGCCTTGCAGCTGCATCGAGGAACTTGCATTTCAGTCAAAACAAAGCACATTCCAGCTGGCAACGTCAAGGTCATCTCCACGGATATCCACAGTGGCTGGAGGGAGTGACTTCTACAACCCGCAAAATTGCTTTTTTTGGGGAATGTAACTGATGACACCTTGGGGGGAGGGGAAACAGGGTCAGAGACAAGGCGTGAATTAAGTGAGGTCAGAGTTGGCTTCACTTGGTCTGACATGAAGCTCCTAATAAATAACTGGATTTCTTTTGAAGCTTGGCTTGAGGCTCATGATTTAATTAGGGCATCGGCTGGAACTCTGACAGGTGTTGCAAAGAGGAGTGGTCTGCCCCAAATGTACTGAGTTTTCTTCTTGCATTTGACCAAGCTTGGTTGGCAACCCAATCCAAAGAGTTCCAAAAGTACTTTTTCAAGAGGCAACTGGACTTTCTTCGTTTGTCCTTGAAGACATTTCACTACTCATCTTAGAAGCTTCTTCAGTTCTGAGAAGCAAAATGTCTTTAAGGAAAAACAAAGAAAGTTCAGCTGCCTTTTGAAAAAGCACATTTGAGACAACCATGACCCGGATGACTGGGAATCTCCATAGACACTGATCCGAAAGAGTTGGCTCCAACCTGGGAAAGATCAGTGGTAAACATCAACAGCCCCTGTGTGCAGCTGAAAAACCACAACTCTCTTTATCTTATAATATAATTTTGGGTTACTACTTCTCACCATTCCCATGGTCTATTTTGAGCAGAAAGAATCTTCCTTGCCTTGGCATTTCTGCTGCACTGTAAATTAATCCCTCTTCAGTTTGTCTTAGCCATGAAATAATAAACTTATCCTGGACTTTGGGGGACATGAGAAACCCTGGAACTGTGAACGGGCACTAAAAGAGGCAGTTGCTAAACAAGGACTACCTGTAGGAGGCAATAAATGGTCAATTCATTGCTAAGAACGATCAGATCCTCGTGACATAGGATTCAATGGGATGGCGTCCTCCCAGTTTCTCTTTATAGGCAACCTCACAAAATATAGGATTGATAAATTTGTTGTTTATTAAGACATTCTAATTTATTTATTTATTTATTTATTTTGGACTCCTGGACATTAAAAATATTTTCCCTGATTTTTTTTTTCCAGGTGGGAAGACCGACAGGGTTGTGATCAAGGTCCCTATTTAAGTAAGTGCCTGTTGCTCCTCTTTCTCCTCCCCCACCCCCATTTTAGAGGAGGTGAGCAAGTATTCTCTCAGCCGCAGTTTTATTTTGCAAACAGCGGAAGAAGCTTTGTGGTCAAGTAGAAAATGGAGTTGTGGCCAGAAAGTAATGCACATCCCAGCCATCAGTGGAAGTCAGGTCCAGAAATAACAGTGAGGGTCTGATCCGAGGGACCAGTTACAAGCAGAAAGAACCAGCTGGAATTCCTTTCTGTATTAGGGATCTATTGGATCAAACCAGTGGTGGGATTCAAATAATTTAACAACCTGTTCTCTGCCCTAATGACTGGCTGGGTGGCCGTGGCCATGATGGGTGTGGCCAGGGGGTGTGACAGGCAACATTCGGCCTCCTGCACTGCCCTAGGGCGCAAAAATAGGCTGCGGGGGTGGGTGCGCCACCTCCATGCTCCATTTTGGGCCTAGTAGGCCTCCCTGCAGCATCCTGGGAGCGAAAACAGGCTGTGGGGGGGGCCATGCTGCACACACACACCATGCCCTGTTTTGGGCCTAGGAGGCTTCCGTGAAGCCTCCTGGGTGCGATAACGGGCCATGGAGGGGCACGCTACACACATCCCCGCTCCCCATTTTGGGCATTGTAGACCTCCCTGCACTCACCTGGAAGCCAAAATGGGGCGCATGGAGACTCCTGGAAGGGGCAGGGAGGGGAGGAGCCAGCCAGAAATTTAACTATCGGTTCACCCGAACCGGCTGAATCCCACCACTGGATCAAACCAGAGACTAAGAAAGACACATAGTATGCAGACTGGATCTTGGTGGAAGGAAGGAAGATTTGTATCTGTTAGAGATACGACTCATGTACCCAGACTGATACCGTACTTAAGTGAACAGTATTAGAACTGTACTTAAGTGAACCAATCCTTTTTGGATTATAATTTGCCTCATTTCTCTGAAATGAACGGTTGGAATTTGAAATCTGCTTCCTTTAAAACATTTACAAAAATATTTCTTTTTTCAGGTTCCGTGTCAAAAGAGTCACAGATGAAAGAGACATACCATACGCCAAAACAAAGGTAGCTTGCACAATAATAGCCATGGAATATTTTGGTGCCCTCAAATTTACAGAAGTCAACTATCCTGCAGTTAATCCAATATAATTGTAGGGTCCAAATTTGGGGAGAAGGGGCTTCATTATTTTGGGAGGTGAGGTTCCTACTTCTTGATTAACCATCCACAGTAGTTAGCAAATCATAGTAATTCTCAGTGAGAGCAGTATCAAGAAAACTGAATTGGAAAAAATAATAACATATTGAAATCAAAATAGACAGATTATGGAAAAGATTTTACAAAATCATTGCTACAGTTATGGCTGCCCTAAGGAGAAAAACATGTGAATTTTTACAATAGTGATATTTTGGCTAGAATAATTTTGAATTTGCAAAAAAAATAAAATAAAATAGAAATTAAAATCATCCTTGCTGGGCCTGTAACTATGTTCTATCTTAAGATGTTATTTGGATAATTGCTAGGTTCCTGTCTGGACCTTGAATTTCCAAAGACTATCAGTCAAATAGGTGATTCTTTTTGTTTCTTTTTTGTACTGTATTAGAGATAGAAATAAAATGCAAAAAACAGAGGTTGGTTGTTTCTAGCAGGTGGGCTACATTTTCCTTAACAGATTAACAGAGTTGGAACCAGTGATGGGTTTCAATTTTTTTTACTACTGGTTCTGTGGGTGTGGTTTGGTGGGCGTGGCAGGGGAAAGATACTGTAAAATCTCCATTCCCATCCCACTCCAGGGGAAGGATACTGTAAAATCCCCATTTCTTCCCGATCAGCTGGAATTTGGGAGGCAGAGAATAGATGGGGGCGGGACCAGTCAGAATTTTTACTACCGGTTCTCCGAACTACTCAAAATTTCCGCTACCGGTTCTCCAGAACTGGTTAGAACCTGCTGAAATCCACCTCTGGAAGGGACCTTATAGGTCATCTAGTCCAACTCCCCACTCAAGCAGGAGACCCTACACCATTTCTGACAAATGGCAGTCCAATCTTTTCTTGAAAGTCTCAAGTGATGAAGCTTTTTTTTGATATACCTTTTTTTTGTATAGGAGCAACTAGTGGTGGGATTCAGCCAGTTCGCACCTATTCGGGAGAACCGGTTGTTAGAAGTAATCATATTTTGTTTTGTTTTTCACTTTACAGGGCTAATCCTGTAAGGAAGGCAGGAAGGAAACATTCTGGTGTTGTTTCTAGCTTTAACTTTATTGCCCTGCTTACAGAAACTGCCTCTCTGGTTAACCCTTATTACATTGTAACAGCTAAGGCGCTTCGCCCATAGACGTGAATGATGTTGAATTGGCCATGACCACTGAGCCACACCTACCCAGCTGGTCATTAAGGCAGAGAACCGGTTGTTAAATTATTTGAATCCCACCACTGGGAGCAACCAAAAACTCAAAATCTAACCCTCACAGAGATATTGGATGCAAATGAGATCCAATAAAAGCAGAAAGAATGTGTTCCTTCCCTTGACCGGGTCATCTATAAGAGTAATCAGTGTATTTTTCTTCTTGTACCCTGATCTGAACCCAGATTGAAAGGGATTTTGAATAAGTGCTTCATTTCAGAGTCCTCTATAACTGTCATTCTATCACCTTGACATCCAAATAATTGGAACAAGGCACGGTTCTTTACCTCCCTCCTGATAAGTCTCTAGATAAAGTTTGGCAGATCTTGCCTATTGCATTGCATTGCTTTTTTTTTTTTTACTTCTGCTGAGCAACTGTCATGGTTTCATTTCTAAATCTATCCTTTTTAGCAAAAGCAGAAAACTCTCCAGCTTTAATGACCTTGGTAAGTATAGTGCTGACCAGGGGTGGGTTCTACTTAACTTTACTACCGGTTTGCAACGGGAGCGCGCACGCAGATCACCCACGATGACGTTGTGGCGGGTGGGTGGAGCCTCCCGCCGGTTTTACTACCAGTTCTATAGAACCGGACCAGAACCGGGAGCAACCCACCACTGATGCTGACCATTTCTTGATTAAAATAGCTGTGGGGGTAAAGTGGCTGGATTGCAGTACTGCAGGTTTACTCACTGCTCACTGCTAGGAGTTCGATTCTGACCAGCTCAAGGTTGATTCAGCCTTCCATCCTTCCGAGGTGGGTAAAATGAGGACCCAGATTTTTGGGGGCAATAGGCTGACTTTGTAAAACCTCTTAGAGAGGGCTGTAAAGCACTGTGAAGTGCTATATAAATCTAAGTGCTATTGCTATTGCTAAACTCCAAAAGTTGGAACAGCTCTGCATTCTTGCTTTATTTTGAATGAAACATACTTTCACAAAAGACGAAATTGGAACTTCTGAGTCCATGGATATCATAGATGGAAGAAGCAGTAGGAGCAAGCATAGTTTGACTCCTTCTTCTTTGTGGCAACCCCTGAGATATTGGAACACTGCTATCATGTCTCCCCTAGTCCTTCTCTTCATCAAATTAGACATACCCAGTTCCTGCAACCGTTCTTCATATGTTTTAGCCTCCAGTCCCCTAATCATCTTTGTTGCTCTTCTCTGCACTCTTTCTAGAGTCTCAACATCTTTTTTACATCGTGGCGACCAAAACTGAATGTAATATTCCAAGTTTGGCTTTACCAAGGCATTATAAAGTGGTATTGACACTTCACGTGATCTTGATTCTATTTATAAATTATTTATAAACAATTTTATTTCATGTATTTACAACTGCCTACCTTGCCAGTGTTGGTGGTGGCATGGTTTTCTCCTTGATAGTTCCTTGATTACGGTATTGTTTTCTGCTGAATTGTTCATCTGGTGAGTCCCAATCCATCATGAGGTCGTGAAGCGAATCTGACTTCCCCCATTGGCTTTGCGTGCTGGAAGCCAGCTAGGAAGGTCGCAAGTGATGATCACATGACACAGGGATGCTGCAACTGTCATAAGTACATGTTGGTTGCCAAGCACCCAAATTTTGATCATGTGACCATGGGGCTGCCGCAACGTTTGTTAAAGTGAGGACCAGTGATGAGTCACTGTTTTCAGTGCTGTTGCAACTTCAAATGGGCACTAAACAAATGCTTGTAAATTGAGAACTACCGATATAAGGAAGCAGATTCCACACTTCCTAGCACTGATGAGATTACTTAGTAATATAAAGATATTAAGATGAAGAATGAATTGTTTAAAGAATAAAAGAGAACAAATATGAATAAATAGCAATAATTAGAATTTAAGAGCAAATGAAGATGTTTATGTAAGTAAGCATAGAAATATTGAGATGATAAAAAAAAGGGGGGGGAAGATTTTGGCAAAAACTGTAATTGAGTAAAATGTATTTGAATGTGATTAATTGTATAAGATAAGATATGGCCAATACTCTGTCAAAAAAGATGTGGGTGAATGTGGGGGGGAGGGGGACCAATAAAACTTAATTTTAAAAAACAGGTTACTTAGTAATGCGGTAATGAAATATCTGCAAAAATAAATATCTTTACTTACTTACTAAGCAAGTAAACAGCTAAGCTCAGAGAGTAGACGGACTCCACAGTTCAGCCTTGAGCTATAGATATTTTCTTCTACTGATTTTTGCACTGGCAGAAGTTTGACCTATTGTAGATTATTTTAAATGTAGCTTTCAGTTCTTATATTTTATGGGCTGCTGGATTGTTTAAAAAGAATACCTGGTGCTGAAGTCTGTCTGGCTTGCTTAAATTTGGATCTACTACAGGTAATCCTCGATTTACGACCACAATGGAGCCCAACATTGCCGTTGTTAAGTGAGACATTTGTTCAGTGAGTTTTGCCCCATTTTACGACTGCAGTTGATAAGTTAGTAACCCAGTTGTTAAGTGAATCTGGCTTCCCCATTGACTTTATTTATTTTATCGGACTTTACTCCGATCTTTAATCTGACAAATTTTGCTTGTCAGAAGGTTGCAAAAGGGGATCCCACGACCCTGGGACAAAACAACGGTGTCAGCCTCCACTTTTATATTGCTTATTTATGACAAAACGGTCATAAATATGAACCACTTGCCAAGCATCTGAATTTTGATTGGATGATCATGGGAATGCTGCAAAGGATGGAGGACCACCTGTAATCCATTTTCAGTCACTTGGATGTTCAGGTTTATCTTTTTTTTTTTTAATTTGATTTGTATGCCGCCCTTCTCCGGAGACTCAGGGCGGCTTACAATGTGTTAAGCAATAGCCTTCATACTTGCATACACCTTGCATACCACAAGCAATTTATCTACCTGATCTGGGTATTAATCCATACATTGTCTTTTCAGAGGACGATTCTCACTCTCAAACAGAGGACGATTCTACATATGTGTAAGTTTTCTATCAATATAATCTTTAGGGTAGTGGTGAAATCCAATTTTTTTTACTACCGGTTCTGTGGGCAAGGCTTGGTGGGTGTGGTGTGGCTTGGTGGGCGTGGCTTGGTGGGTGTGGCAGGGGAAGGACACTGCAAAATCTCCATTCCCACCCCACTCCAGGGGAAGATTACTGCAAAATCCCCATTCCCACCCCACTCCAGGGGAAGGATACTGCAAAATCTCCATTCCCACCCCACTCTGGGGCCAGCCAGAGGTGGTATTTGCCGGTTCTCCGAACTACTCAAAATTTCTGCTACCAGTTTTCCAGAACCTGTCAGAACCTGCTGAATTTCACCCCTGCTTTGGGGTCTTTAGTTGGAATTTTTACCATTTTAGGCATATGGATAAATTAATTTTTACTGGTGACCACTGTAATCCTCACTTCTAAAAGCCATGGTCCATCTTCATAGAGTTTACAGAATTAAACCTATATATTAAGCTAAAAGGGCTTGTTAAGTCTAACAAACTTGAAGTTAAGGTCAGGTTCAATTTAATGGTGAGGGAATGTCAAAATCACAGGAAAGTGGTACCAAAGTCCCCTAACCTCACCTTCTGTGAGTAGCCTTTCCTAGAAATCACAATGGCTGTGCTGGTTACAAATTCTAATTCCATAATCCAATGTATCTGGAAGGCTCTGCTACATCAAGATGCACCGTATTCCTACTTAACTTGGAAAAATCTTTTCTAAATAAGGTCACTGTTGTCTTTATTCTTCCCATCCCCTTTTTGTTTTATAGTATTGTTAAAGGGACATGGTGGCTCAGTGGCTAAGATGCTGAGCTTGTCGATCAAAAGGTCGGCAGTTCAGCGGTTCGAATCCCTAGTGCCGCATAACGGGGTGAGCTCCCGTTACTTGTCCCTGCTCCTGCCAACCTAGCAGTTTAAAAGCACATAAAAAATGAAAGTAGAAAAATAGGGACCACCTTTGGTGGGAAGGTAACAGCGTTCCGTGTGCCTTCGGCGTTTAGTCATGCCGGCCACATGACCACGGAGACGTCTTCGGACAGCGCTGAAACAGAGATGAGCTCCGCCCCCTAGAATCGGGAATGACTAGCACATATGTGAGAGGGGAACCTTTACCTTTACCTTATTGTTAGACTGGTTACTCTCATCGTAGAGAGCCTCAAAAAATCGTTGCTCAGATTTCTTGTAAGACATATTAGGGAAGAGAATCACTGAATTTAACCAACTCCTAAGCTTTCTGATTCTCTTGTAGAACCATAAAGCATCTTTCTCTAGCCAAACATCTTGTGTGTGAATGTGAGTGTTTCAGCTTCACCTTCCAGAATTCATTCATTCAATTTGGCACCAGGTTGGGGGAAAGCTGTGCAAAACCTCCCTTCCAGGCCAAGAGAAAATTTTGATTGCAGAACAAATGATGCAAAGAGGCAGTGGGTGCCTCTTCACTGGATGTTTTCAAGCAGAAGTTAGACGATTGCCTGTCTGAGATGCTCTGATTAATTTGATGGCACCTTCCAACTTCTATGGAGCACCACAATCTGGAGAGGATATGTAGAAAAGAATTTCTGGGCAATAGCACCTGTATCCTGAAGTCTTGCTTTGGCTCCTGTTGTGTAGCTATTGGGTTGCCTGTCAAAGCTCTTTTAAAATTGGCTCCTCGGCTTTCAAATTAGATTGATTTTCTTACCTTAGCTCAGCCTTCTGTCATCTGCTTCTCTTCAAATATGTTGCAGCTATAAATTCCAGAGTTTCCAACTGTTAGCAGTGATGGCTGGGCATGTTGAAAGGTTCAGTTGCAATGTACCCAGGAGATGGCAGGTGGTGTAATTTATAATTTGCCTTTGCTTTTTTTATTTTGCAGCTTAGAGCCTGCTTGGGTATGAAAGGAGATCTAAGAGTTATTTACACCTGATGAAGATGGGGGAAGTTTGAATCCCCACTCAGACTTGATAGATCAGGCTGAGTGACTTTTGTTCAGCATTTTATCTTAGACCTATTTTGTAGGCTTGTTGAGAAAATAATTTTGATTCTTTGAATAAGGATACCGCATGTGTGAGAAAGAGCAAATTATTTATGATTCTGTTTGTGGCTTGGGTGGCTCTCATTCAGGATGGGAAATCAACCACAGGCATTGAAATGCCTATCAATTTCATTGATATTCCATTTTTTTCCAACCTTCTGCTTTCATCCCTTTTCCATTCTAGTGAACCCCTCTCTTCACATCATTACCACAATTGGCAAATAGCCACAGGACTATCAAGTGGTAAGTGGACAAGCCAGGTTAAGTAACCCATAACCTATAATCCACTAATTTCTGAGGGGTTTTTGGTGCTCTCTGAGCTTGGTTCCTTTCTTGCAAATGTTTTATTATCCAAATTAGGCAGAGGTGTCAAACTTGTGTCATCAGGTGACGTATCGCAACTTTTTTCCCTTCACTAAAATGGGGGTGGGCATGGCCAGCGTGTGATTCATCCGCCATCCGGCCCACGGGCTGTGAGTTTGACACCCCTGAAATTAGGTAACATTATGCCAAAGTAGGATGATGTTACTTAGTTTGGGTAATGAAACATCTGCAAGAAACGACCAAGCTCAGAGAGTACCAAGGATCCCTCATTTCAACCCTGAGCTACAAATATTCTCCTTTATTGGTACCCACTAATTTCTGTGTGGCAATTTGCACCAAGTTATTTTCAATTTTCGTTAACCAAACCTGGCCTAGGAGGAAAGTAGAGGTAGTCCTCACTTTACGACTATTCATTTAGCAACTGTTAAAATTTATGGCGGTGCTGCAGTATCCCTGTGGTAATTTGGTCAAAAATTTGGCCGTTTGGCCACTTACAATGTTTCAACTCCCCCGCTTATCTCCCCCCCACATCTATGCTTTTCTACCTTTTGTCCGCCATGGCTCCTGCTACCCTAACTGACCCTCCCTTGTCATCGTTTTGCTCTTTCCGCTGACCAAATATAGCCAGCTTGACCCTTTGCAAGGCAGCTGCTGGCCCTGTGAAGCTTTCTTCCCCAAGTCATGTAAGCCGGTTTCCTCACGAGACTTGGGAAGATGGCCTCAGATAGCCAGCAACTGCCTGGCAATGAGCAAAGGTGTGTGCGTGTGTGTTTGGTCAGCAGCAGGAGCAAAAAGCAGTGGGAGGAAAATGGTGAAGGTCAGCAGGGGTGGCAAAGGGAAGCAGGGGCCTCGGAGTGCAGGGTGGGCTAGGCTGAGGGGGCTGAGGCAGCTTTGCGCCATACAGACAGAGTGCCTGAAGCTTCCTGGCGCATTGTGGCTTTGTGCTGTGGCTCCTTAGGACGTGTGGCATTACTCCATGCTGCTAGGGCTTCCTCGGGTGCTGTGCAGGGGAGGTATTCACTTAACTTTGCTACCGGTTCGCAAATGGGAGCGCACGCGTCACCTCCACGCATGCGCAGAGCGTCAAAAATGGGATGTGATGGCGGGTGGGCGGAGCCTCCTGCAGCCGCTGCTACCAGTTTTCCCAAACTGGATAGAACCGGCTGAATAGCACCACTGCGGCTTCCTTTCATCCGGTGCCAAAAAGGAATAGTGTTGAGGTGCCCTTTCTCTTTCTAATACTCTTTTTTTTCCCTTCTCCTGACAGCTTTTTCCTTCCATGACTTTTTCTCCTTTGACAGATATCTAACCTTTTTCTCCTCTGTATAACACTTCCCTTCCTCCTCTCCTCTCTGACATGGCCTTCCTTCCTCTCTGAAGATGCGAACGATGGGTTGCCTCTCAAGGAGCATGTTCATACAAAGGTCACCATGGGATGCACATAGTGGGCAAAACCATGATCGTTCTCCTTAGCTGCATTTGGAGAAACATCTGTATAATAGCAGTAGCTCTTAGCACTTAGACTTATATACCGCTTCACAGTGCTTTACAGCCTTCTCTAAGTGGTTTAGAGAGTCAGCCTATTGCCCCCCACCCCACCCCGGTAATCTGGATCATTTTACTGACTTTGGAAGGATGGAAGGCTGAGTCAACCTTGAGATGGTGAGAATTGAACTGCCAAACTGCTAGCAGTCAGAATTAGCCTGCAATACTGCTTTCTAACCACTGCCCCATCACCATGTCCAGTACTACTTTGATGCTTTTTTTTCAATCTCAGCTTTCCCCCTCTTTTAGATGATGATTCTCATGGATACCAAAATGTGATTGGGACAATCAAAAGCAATCGACGTAAGTTCTTTGGAGAATGTTCCTTTCCTGTATCAAGCCAAATAGTTATCTGCCCCATTCAATTGCATACTGCTGTTGCCCAATATGACTACAAATTCGGATATGACGATCTGCTCTAATCAGGGGTGAAATCCTCTGAAGTCTGCTACCAGTTCTGTGAATCTGTTATACTGAGTGCATGCTTTGCGTGCGCAGCGCTAAAAAAGGAACATTTTGAAGCCTTCCGAGTCTGCAAAGGTAAGTAGAACGGGGGCTGGGGGGGAGAGATCCGCTGTGCCACGCAATTTAGATTAGCTAGAAAGCAGGAAATCTGACGATTTTAGCTAATATAAATCATGCATCACAGCTGATTGTCGCCCAACTGATTGTCAGAAATACCGGTTCACTAGAACCAGTAGCATTTTTTACTACCGGTTCACCCGAACCGGTCCAAACTAGTAACATTTCACCCCTGGCTCTAATGTCATGTGAATGCACAGCAGGGGTGAAATGCTCCCGGTTCGGACCGGCTCGGGCGAGTAGGTAGCGATGGCGGCGGGCAGTTCGGAGAACCGGTAGCAAAAATCCCTGCCCCCACCCCCCATGCCCAGCTGAGCCGGGCAATCATCAGAGGCTTTTTTTCTTTTAAATGCCTCTGACGAGCCAAGCTCTGACGATCCCAGTTGAGTTGCCTGCTAATCAGGCAACTCAGCTTGGATCGTCAGAGCCTTTTGAAAGCATTTTTTACATGGTTTTACATGTAAAAAATAGTTTTAAAAGTAAAAAAAAAAATTGGCCACACCCACCCAGTCACATTACCCGCCCACTAAGCCACGCCCACAGAACCGGTAGTAACAAATTTTAGATTTCACCACTGATGCACAGTCTCACATTCCAGTCATATACATTAAAAACTGCTCTAGAGGATTGGGAGATTGTTTCTTCTTCTGGTTTCTATTACAGAAAGCACTTTCCAATGAAGATCTGTGTGATAATATACCTCAAAACTAAGCATCCCAAACGGTGCTTTTTTCTAAAAACAACAACTGGACTTCATTTTTTTTCTCCCTTTGATAAAGTTTGCTTCTCATCCAAGAAGCTTCTTCAGTTCGGAAGAACTAAAGAAGCTTCTTGGATGAGAAGTGAAACGATTTCAAAGGGGGAAAAAAAAAACAAAGACAGTCCAGTTGCCTTTTAGGAAAAAAAGCACCTTTGGGAAAACCTGGACCTGTATGATTGAGAACCTCCATAGACATTCAGTATTAAGCATTTTTCACTTTGCCCAAGGCACTCTGTTCCACTTATGGACCTGCTAAAATCCCACTCACCTGCAGGGATGGAGAGGATGTCAAAAACAGGAAAAATGATAATAATAAGTGAGGTTAAAAAATTAAGAAATAATAACCTGCTCTTTACATCTCCTTGTCTCTTTTTTTTTTCTCTAGTTTTGGCAGATGAAGACATCTACGAGAACAACCTAGCAATTCAGATATGGAAGCAGGCACAGATTTCAGGTAAACTCAGCCCCGAGAATTCAAAAGCAGAGTTGTTCAATGAATGAAAAAGGATTGCAGTGGTTCTCAACCTTTTTTTCACAACCCCCCCTGTAAATACCTTTTGTGGCCATGGATGCCCAAGACTCAAAATTTAAATTATAACATTTCTTTAAGCCTTCGCGGACCCCCTGTGACGACACTGTGTCCACAAAGAGGTCTGCAGACCACGGGTTAAGAACACCTAATCCAATGATGGCAAACCTTTTTGGCACAGAGTGCCCAAACCGGAAATAACATGCATGTGCACACGCCAGAGCGCCAGGAACCCAAAGACCAGCTGGTGTGGATGTGCGCACGCCGGCCAGCTGGTTTTTGGGTTTCCCCGCACTTGCATGCTTCGCGCACACTGGAGCACCGGAAACCCAAAAATCAGCTGGCCGGCACGCACATACCTGTTTTTTGGCCGTTTTTTCAGGCTCTTTTTCAAGCCATTTTCCAGCCTGGTTTTTTGGCTGTTTTGGGATCGTTTTCAGGGCGTTTTTTGGGCCGTTTTCAGGTGCTCCAGTGCCCGCGAAGAGCAGCTGGCTACGGCGTGTGTGCCCACAGAGAGGGCTCTGTGGAAGGAAGGAAGAGAAGGGGAGAAGAAAGGTTGTGGCAAAATAAAGAAGGGTAAATGGTAAAAGAGCAGCCCCGAAAAAGTAAAAATCAAAAATGAAAGTTAAAAGATGAATGAAAAATGGTGAATAAATGACTGTACATGTAAATATGTTTATGAGAAATAAAAATAAAAACTTTTTTGGAAAAAAAAAGAGAGAGAGGGCTCTGCATGCCACCTCTGGCACGCGTACCGTAGCTTCTCCATCACGGAATTAATCTATTACACATAGTTCAACTGAAGCTAATAAATGCTATCAGTGATCTTGGCTAATGAAAGGCTGGGATCTATGACATAAGAAAGGCTGGAATATAGGAGGAGAATAGGAGCTGAATTCAGTATGATTTGAAAGGAGATTTAGGATTGAGGGCACTATTACATAGGAGGTGCTGTCAGGATTAGTTGACATCTTATAGGAGAAAATAACAGAATCCCCAAATCCTTAAACACCTGAAGGTTTTATGGTCTGTATATTATTATTTATAGTGTTGCATTGGCCTCCAACCAATAATGGTGGCAAAGTGATAGAACGTCAGTTGCCTTCTAGTTTTTACCTGGATATTTCAGTACTTCTGTGTAGCCCTAACAAGCTTCTTGTTCTGTTCTGCTTATGCATAATTATTTTCTCTCTCCAGAAAGCGACAGTGCTAATTGTGAAGAAGAAGAATCGATTTACATCAATACAGAACAATATAGCAGGTAATTATGCAGACAGGTCGTGCTCTCCTGCACTGGGAATGATACCGTATGCGTGCAGTCATTGTCAATGGGAATCTCTAGTTGTTATGTCTTCTCGTAAGAGATAAAAATAATTCTAATTAATTTAATGCGAAAGTATGTTTTTAGAAAGACTCAGTTTCAAAATCTGGCAAATTCTATTGAAGGACTCTTAAATGTAGTTTCCATTCTAAAACAAAGCAAATTGTTTTCTTTTCGAGCTCTAATCGGTGTTTCTCAACCTTGGCAACTTTCAGATGTGTGGACTTCAACATCCAGAATTGGGGCTGGGGAATTCTAGGAGTTGAAGTCCACACATCTGAAAGTTGCCGAGTTTGAGAAACACTGCTCTAGTTGAATGATGACAATGGTGAATGTTGTCTGTAGAAAACTAGGTTATTAGAAATCAAAGGTTTTTTTAAAAACTCAGTCAAAATATTGAAATATCAGAGCATGCAATGGAACTAAAGGGATTCAGTGATAGAACTGGGTATAGATAGTCCTTGACTTATGACATGTCACTCATAAACTGTTCAAAGTTACAACGGATTGCCCCAAAAGATATCTATGACCTGGTTCCAAAGTTCCAAAAATGGCTGCCTACCCCTGCAGTCACGTTACTGTTTTGGACATTTGCCAATCAGCCTATTTGTAGTATCCTGCGGTCACATGGATGCAATTTACATTTTTGCAAAAAAACCCAGCATTTACCGTATTTTTCGTAGTGTAAGACACACTTCCCCCCCCAAAGAGGCTGAAAATTTGGGTAGGTCTTATACTCTGAATGTAGCTTTTTCAAAGCTTTTTTTCAGCCCTAACAAGGCGCTAGCGAGTGAAGCCTCCCTCTGACTCTCAGCTGTGCTTTAGAAGCTGTTTTTCAGCCCTAACAAGGTGCTAGCAAGTGAAGCATCTTCCGAACTTCACCTGCTTTTCTTATTGCTTCTCTCTCCAAAGATCAGCTGTGCTTTAGAAGCTGTTTTTTATCCCCAAGTAGGGGATAAAAAGTGCGCACACGCGCTCAAAACCAGCAAACTAATGTGCTGAAGCTGACCAGACTAAGGACGCTAGCCAGATGAATACCTGGTAGGCAGATTCCCCCCCCCCATTTTCCTCCCCAAAAACTAAGCTGCGTCTTATACTCCGAAATATATGGTACTTCTGGTTCTAGCAACAGCAACAGCACTTAAGACTTATATACTGCTCCATAGTGCTTTACAGTACTCTTTGAGCAATTTACAAATTTCAGCATATTGTCCCCAACAATATGGGTCTTCATTTTACCAACCTTGGAAGGATGGAAGACGGAGTCAACTTCAAGCCGGTCAGGATCAAAGTGCTGGCAATAGGCAGTTAGCCTGCAATACTGCATTATAACCACTGCGCTACCATGGCTCATATAAAACTGTCTACAGTGAACAATAGGTTCACTTAACAACTGCCACAAGAAAAAATTATAAAATTGGGTCAGTAGCTGATGACCTGCTTTATGACCATCAGGATTTAAGGTCGTAATTGCCAGAATCAGTTATTGTCATAAACTGAGGACTATCTGTATAAAGCAAGACTGTGGTCATACTGCCAATCAAGTCATTGTGATTGAGTGCAGGAGATCTGGTAGTATCTTTTCAGATCCACACATTTGTTAGTGTAAAAGGGTACTACCAGATTCTTCCTGGTGTTTTGGTTACGAGCTTCCCTCGAAAACCATCTAATGCAGGGGTGTCAAACTCATATTGGGACTTTCCCCCCCTTCGCTAAACCGGGCAGGGGACAGGGCCAGCATGTGACACATCTGGCCCGCGGGCCGTGAGTTTGACACCCCTGATCTAATGTGATTTCCATTTGCATTAAAAATACATTTAAACCTCACCCCGAGAATGAAGTGTTACATTTTTATTTTCCCAGTTCTCAAGGTAGAGATGTCCATTTGTGAGAAATCGGTATCCTAAATTTACTTCTTTTTAATGGGTTAACCTGGGATCCAGGCAGTATCTTTCCACCTGTGATTGAAATCTTCCAAGGGCCGAAATCCAAAAGGAATGAAAGCATCCCAACACCAACATGCCAGAAGACAGGATAACAACACTGAAATGGCTTACAGGATTGTTTTACCCTTGTTCTTTCCACATCTTCCTGGCCCTACTTGTCAGCATCTGTTATTTCTGACTTACTTTGCAGTCCTTAATATAATTTATCACAATCTCCCAGAGAGTGAATCTTGCTTTGGCAATATTTATGAGGCATGTATGGACTTTAGGATAATTTTTAGAAATCTGCAGAAACGACAAGCCTCTACATCATTAAATAAATAAAATGTGAATAAGTCTCTGTTTTCATTCCTATATTTGTTTTGGGGATAGATACTCACAGCAACACATTACTGATTATATTATTATAGTTGGATGTGCAGTAAGCCAGATATTTAAACTGCATTTGGCATTTGTGTCCACCTATCGAGTCATTCCCAAGGGACCTGGGATAGGCAAATGTTTTTTAATAATATTAAAGGTATCATCGCAGCTATTCTAAGTAAAGCTGAAATTGAAATTGACTGGTTTTGTCCATGCTGTCCTTGTTCAAGTAGTGCTCAGATGTTTTTGGAACTGCACCCAATAGCCCTGTTACTATTGGTATTAGCTTTCCTTTCTTTTCCAATAGTCGTTTACATTTATTTGTGTGTCTTTATATTTTGTGATTTTTTTCTCCAGTTCTTTCTCTTTTATTCTGCTGTTACCAGGTATTACAAGGTCCACTATTATTATTTTGAGACAGCAGCAGTCGCTCTGGTCAAAGGAAGATGACAGATTAATTTCTAGACCAAAAAAAAGCTAAAAAGCAGAAAAACAAGCCTTCTGCATACAAAAGGATCAGAAATAGAATTACATCTTTTAGTTTCTTTTCTTGGATTCTAGAAGGCTGGAGAGTACTTTTCCCAAAAAAAATAGTTTGGGAATTCCCCATTCCACCCCAGACACCCATACCGTTTTCCCCAAAATAAGACATCCCCTGATAATAAGCCCAATTGGGCTTTTGAGTGCATGCGCTAAAATAAGCCCTCCCTGAAAATATTTAAGCATATGTGCAGCTGGTCCCCACCATTTCCTCTGGTTAGGGTTAGGGAGACAGAGCTGGAAATCAGATAAGACGGCAAGAGGAGCCCCATCTTGCTCAATGCGCCCAAAATAATAAGACCTCCCCAAAAATAAGGCCAAGCGCTTATTTTGGGGTTCAAAAAAATATAAGACAGGGTCTTATTTTCAGGGAAACATGGTAGTTCAATTCTTTCTAAAGGATATGTACAAAATTAAACAGATTAACAAAATAATGGTTTAGGGTTGTCAAGAACAAGTTTTAAAAGCAAAGTTGGAAGAAATTGGATTTTTGTTAGGATAGCATATTAATACGGTCACGTAGAAGAGACTACAGAGGCATGACTGAATCTAAGGGGCTTGAGAATTAATTGTATAAAGTTACCGAACGTAACTTAAATTCAGGACATAAGACAAATATATTTTAATCTTTGGTTCCATCTAATGCTATTAAAGAGGCTGAATAATTTAAGGAAGACTATTTTGATTCTTAAATGTATGAGAGGAAAAAATGTATTCACATTCCTGAACAATATCATTGGTGTAGTAAAATTTATGGTTGATACTTTTTATAACAAACTTTTATTTAACTGTAAAAAAACACAAATCGTAAGAGAAACCACAGCTTTGACAACTGTATTCGCACCCACCAACTATATGCTAAGCCGTGTACTCATACTTTGGTTGCACAAAGCAGCAAGTCAGTTTGCAAAAATCTCCTCCTTCTTGGCCAACTTGCCGTCCATCCTCTCAGCTTGTGGTGGGAGCAGCAGTCTTCTGACAGAGGCGGGCTAGTAAGCCTGCCATTTGTAGTAGCGAATTTACTCCTTCTACTATCTTCATGTGCGTATAACCGATTTCCTAATCAAAGGGGGAAGAAAAATAAAATTCAAATGAACTTCCTGTTTTTCCTGCTGTAAAAATACAACATTCCAGTACACATTCATGAAATCACAACCGTTGTATTTTCATGTTGCAGCTACGTATGCACATGCAAACTGAGATGTGGAAGAGGAAACCCCAGAGGAAATACCTCAACCAAACAAGAAAACTCACCCCTGAGTAAAGCAACAAGGGTTGCACTAAAACTATCCTCGGAATTCCCACCATCATTTGATGGAGACAGTTGTATATAGGTAGTCCTTGACTTACAACCACAATTGAGCCCAAAATTCCTGTTGCTTAGAAAGACAGTTCAGTTTTGCCCCATTTTACCTTTCTTGCCAGTTGTTAAATGAATCACTGTAATTGTTAAATTAGTAACATGGTTGTTAAGTGAATCTGGTTTCCTCACTGACTTTGCTTGTCAGAAGATCACCAAAGGTGATCACATGACCCAGGGACATTGCAACCATCATAAGTTCATGCCAGTTGTCAAGTGTCCGAATTTTGAACACATGATCGTGGGGACTCTGCAACCGTTTTAAGTGTGAAAAATGGTCATGGGTCACTTTTCCAGTGCCGTTGTAATTCTGAACGGCCACTAAAGGAATGATTATAAGTCGAGGATTACCTGTTGTAGAAAAAAAGGATGGATTAAAAAATCGTGATATGTCAGTAGATAGAAAGGCAGGGATACACCATCTCTGGACCAGGAGGCCCTCTTAACATCACTCCAGCACTAGTCACAAAGTTGGACTACTGCAATGCATTTACACAGAGTTTTTCTTGAAGTTCACCTGGAAGGTGCAGCTGGCCCAGAATGCAGGGACATGGCAGTCTTGGGCATACTTCAGTATACTCATATGACTTCATGATTATCTTCTCTAAAGCATAGTATCAGCTTATTTGGGGAACTGCTTATGTTTCATGGTCTCTGCCCATCCAGGAAGATTTTTCATTTATTATTCCATTTGTACAACCAACCATCTGATCTAAGCAATTCTAGGTGGCTTAAAACGGGTAAACGCATTCCAATAAAACTACGTTGAAAACCAATATGCATATAAAACTCATCTGTAATCCATTTAAAACAGAAAAGCATGACTTGCAGCAGAAATAATTCTACATCAGCTCAACACAGCCTTTGGTTGGAGCTCTCAATCACTGCCAGACCCTGAGGCAAAGTGTCAGAGCCATGTCTTCATGGTCTTCCTAAAGGCTGGTTTGTTGGGCCCATCCAAGGTCCCGGTTAGGGGGAGGGACATTATGTTCCACAGGGCGGGTGCCACAACAGAGGCTCTCTTCCAGGATCCTACTAAACAAAGCTCTTTGGCCAATGGGACCCACATGCCTTTCCTGCCACTTCTGGCAGAGATCAGGCAGAGTTGATGCACATCAAGTTCCGTCAAATAGTAAAACTTAGGAGCTGTCTTCTTTGTTACGGTTCCTGCCCTCTGGAATGAGATCTTCCAGAGATCCATTTAGCTCCCTCCCATTCCCACGAGGTTCTCTTAGACCTTTGGGTTGAGTGTTTCTGGACTTCTGGGTGATTGATTGATTGTACTTTATCTGGACACTTAAGTCATTTCAATTGTTTTTTAATGTTTTCCTATTGCAATTGTAAGGGTACTCAGAGTAATTGTACTAAACAAAATAAACATATCCAACCGACTCATGTATAATACGTGGCATGAATTGTGTGTGTGTGTGTGTGTGTGTGTGTGTGTGTGTGTGTGTGTGTGTGAGGCAGCTTCTTGAAAAACTGAAGATTCCTTTTAAGTTGTCAATCCTTCTGCTCCTAAATGGATGAAGAAATCACTTCAAGTGGAGCAAGAGAGAGATGTTTTGTGCAATTTTACTTTGGGATGTAATGGAATTCACTAGTACTCTTTTCACCTATTTAAGGAAGAAGTTTATACAGGATTATAAATGGATTTATGTAAAGATCCAGATGTTAGAAAGATTCCTTCTTCAGGCACTTGGCTTGCATAGCCAACCTTGCTGCTTACACCAGCAATATCCCACAAAACCTAACCTTAATGAACTCCAACTTCAGATATTCTGCCATTTGGAATGTTTTACAGACTCGGAAAATATTGCCGATGATGTCTTCAGGTGAGTAACCAAGCTTCCATAAGTGAGCAAGAATCTGAAGAAAGAACAAAACTATCAATTTGATGTCTTAACAGCTTTAAAGATGTAAATCCAATTTCTCAAACACTGTTTTTAAGACAGCTCAAACATAAACGAGAAGGAATATAATCACAATTAAATTATAAAGATAATGGACTTCAAAAAAGAGAACAAAGAGGAAGATTTGTGACTTTTTTCATGACCCCAGCCAATTGTTGCCTTTAGAACATATAACTAAAGCCATGGCCTAGGGCAGGGGTGACAAACTCGCGTCGTCACATTGTTGTTACGTGACGTGTCACAACTTTTTTCTCCTTCGCTAAAACGGGTGGGCATGGCCAGAGTGTGACGCATCCAGCCCGTGGGTCACGACTTTGACACCCTTGGCCTAAGGCAATATATAAAACAACCCACAAGCTCTTAAAATGGTTGTGAGAAAGAGATCCTTTTATAGGCTTAGTTCCTGTCCTATGTTCAGACCAAAAAGCAAAAGAGGCAAAAGATATGCACTCTTCTTGTGCCCACCTTATAAGCTTCATCAATGTTCGCATTGACACAATGGCCGATCATCTCCTTCACCAGCAAAGGATGGGGCTCATCACACACCTATGACAAAAACAGAAACATCATGAAGCCAAAAGCCCCCAATGCTATTGAAAACAGATTGAAAGCCCCCCTCAATGCTTCTGAAAACAGTTATAGTCCATCTCCATAAAGAAAGGTAAGTATCTGAACTACACAAGGCTGCACAGGTCCTATAAGACCTGGAAAGATATGGGAACTATTAGTCTGCTAAAGTGAAACTGGTTCAGGATAATTTCATATGAACTCAGTAAAACACAGCCCAATCTCTTCAGCTTCGTTTCAAACGAGCACAATTTTTTTAAAAAATGTGTAAAACAGATCCACTTTCCCCCTCAGGAAATTGGCATCCCAATTCATGATCTACATATAAAGTTCTTCCATGAAACTGGTTGCATATCGGCATTAACAATGACCAAAGTAGATGGTATAGTGTTTAGAATTCTAGTTCCAAGATTGGGGAAAAAATTAGCAAGACAACAGGGTAGACAGTATTGAAGTAAGTGGATCTAGAGTCTGATCTGGCATAAAGCAACTTCCTATGTTAGATGTGAGGTGGGACTATCACTCACATGGTGATAAAATTTTTCTTTGAGGAAGGCATTCTTAATATCAGGGTTTTTTTGGTGGGGGACTTTT